TACCAGACGACCCAAAACTCTTGTCAATTACATATCAGACCGAGAAACGTGTTCGCTCCCAGATTTTGCATGTTTTCGGCGACGGTCGTTGCGTCATTGAAAGCCACGTGACTACCGTGGCTCCTTGAAAGGGAAAATCGGAAGAAGAGTTCTGGGAGAAAAACGTCTGAGTCGCCGTAGTTCCCTGACAACCGCGTTACGGGCGAGGAACGGTCCGCCTCGCCTGGGATCAGGCTAGAAAGTTGTGAGCGTTGCGTCACCGCGTTTCCTTTAAACTTAAACGAACAGAACCATTTACGAAACCTATTCGAATATTTGGCCTACCATTTTCTGGGAATCCTAAAGATCTACACTAAAGTTCTAAATTCATGTACTGAAGCTTAAAAATGATCGAAACGATCGACTTTCTCTTCTGTACGAATTATAAAAATGTCCAGGAATGAAATCGTATCAGTGGTTCGGTCATAATGTGCATACGTATTTACCGTGGTTAATAATAGAAATGAAATGTAATTAAGTTTCGAGGCGACTTCCCTTCCTATTTTAACATCGAACCGTCCGGCTCGCTCTCGCTTTTATGTCATTTTGAATAAATACACGGGCGGCAGATGGATTCGTAGAAACCTCTGAAACCTCTCTCCCGGTAGAACTACGTAAAACCGAAAGCTGTACAGACTGTTTCCCGCGATTCGTATCCCACGGCGAGAGAGAGACGATTCGTTCGGCCACGGGCGGAGCAGAAGAAGCAGCCAGCGAATTTAATTGGACGTTGACGATGCATTATTCCGACCATTGCTACGAGAATTTTAACCGGTCCCCTTTTAATTTCGAGTTTCAATTAAACGGAATGCTAAGCGATCGTTCGCTGATTGCTACTCGCGAGACAGATTTTCGCGTTGCTTAGCGGTGAATCAGGCGTGAAAATTGAACGACCCTCCATACTTCCACAGATTGTCTGATCTTTGAAAACTCATACACCGTCAGATTTTCATGCGGAACAGAACGTTTCGTCAATGAAATATAAATCGAGTACGAGAGTACTCTTAATATTCTGCACTTTTTACCGTAAATTCAATGTTTTTACGAATCCGTGAAACCTACGGCCTTGCATCGTTACTGTTTGAATGTCGTAAGAAAATATTTGTCTTGCGTTCGCCCGATTTTCCAAAAATCAATCGCGAACAGTCTGCTAGAGTTTGAGGAAAGTGAGAATGTTCATTTTATAACTGACTGCTCCGCCTCGAGAGAATCGGGCAGACCGGGCACTCGAGGTACAAAGTTTTAGCGGTTCATCCTCGTATACCTAATTGGACATTGATGAGAGTGGCAGAGATAGGTGCTCGTCGCGAAGTGCCGAGCCAACGACGGCTGGCGACTGTCCCCAGCCATTTTGTACCGTTGAAACTTCGATCCGGGCCGTGTCTAGCCTCGGAAGGAATCGAAGCCGCGGGATAACAGCCTTTTAGGCGAGATTGCCTACTCTCTCCTCTCCCTCTCGCGGCGTGAATCTTCGTCTTGGCCCGTGAAAACCCGAAAGTAGGTTCCGCTCGAAACGGCACCTCCTTTGTTTCCTCCTTTTAATCCTCTGATCTCGCTGGGATTTGGTCACGGATCGTGAGACCGTCTCACGATCAGTTTAAATTTCATTCCACGAATCGTTATAATGTATTTATTTATTTATGCATTTCACGGATCTCAAGAACCCATTTTATATAATACAGATATAGAAATAAAAAAACGAGTAATGGTAGAAAATCGGTGACATTGATCGTAACATAATCAGATGAATACTTCATAGTCGATGCACCTGCGATACTAGAATTGAAAATTCTATTGCTCTGGTATCGTTCGGTATCGCGACAGAGCTACGAACAGTAAGATTTGTCGGTGTCAAGAATCGTCGGTGAAAGAGAGAAAACGAGATGCACGATAAGTAGGTGATCGCGTAACATTTTTCTTGTCCCCCGATTTGTTCACCTGCTCGACTCACCGGTAGCTTTACCGGTGTAAATGAAACTCGACTCGGCCGTTCACCAACCGCACACGACGGCGAACACGGGACACCGGTATCGGTTCCAACGAAGGATCCCGCACACGCTCATACACGTAGGTACGCGTGCAAGGACCCCTCCGTTTCTTAGGTTTCCGCGAAGAATATCGAGTGACGTTATATCGGAGCAAACGGCAGCACCGTTGAATCATCGTATGTCGCCAGGGGACGACGAACTTTCTGGCTTCTGTTTCACAATTGTTTTTTAAAAGGATTTCGTTCGCTCGAGGGAGACCGCTCTCCGTTCGTTACAATCTCTAAATCGTTGATCCGTAGATCGCGAATACTGATGCGGAATGAAACTTTCGTAGCGGTTATTTGAGAAATTAAATTTAGAAACGTCGTTTCGCCGTTGATGTTCTGACGTGCACCCACCCATAAAATTCGCGATCACGTTGCCGTCGTTTTATGTGATGATACAATCGGGAAAACGAGAGAGTAAAATTCTGGAGATCGATCGGTCGCACAGAGAGGAGCTGGTCGATCCGTGTGACGCGCCGTCACAGAAGAAGAGCGCCGAATCTCAGGAGTGAAGAGAATCGACGAATCCGTGGAACCTCGCGTGAACGTCGAACGCTCTTCCTCGAGGAGCGACACGGAAGACGTGGAACTGGGTCGAAAACGCAACGACGGCGTCGAGCCCTGACGATTCGATCATCGCGAAGCCCGCGGCGCGTAACGCTCGCTCGCGGGTCATCCGCCTCGGGCCGGCGAAATAGAGTGGATCCGGCGTTGTCCGACACCTACGCGCGCGCGAGCCTCGCGAGCCAGACTTCCGTGAAGGTGAAACTCCGTTCGAAGAAGGCCAAAAGAAGAAGAGGGGCGACCACCGATCCCCGGCGACTGGCTTTCGCGTTTCCTACGTGTTGGAACCACTTAGTCGAGCCTAGACGACGGTCACGACCGGTCGCTGTCGTTCAGAGCCCATTTCCATTTTCCCGTGGCAACGTCGTCGAACCGGAGAACGCGTCTTTTGCGTGAGAGACGCGTGCGAACACGTTTCAAGGATCATTTTCGGTTTAACGTCGATCGTCGTTGGTCGCGAGTAGTTTTGGCATCGAGTTCCTGGACGCGTTCTGCATGGGACAGTTGAGATCGAAGTGTGACAAAAGACATGATGGTGATAAGCGCGTTGAAGCAGGTCGCCAACGCTGCGACCAACGCTGTTCACTCGGCGACGAACACTGCCCACCCGAACTCTGGTACGTTTCGATCGTTCGCTTTTCAACGACCGAGCCCATACGGCACGACTTTGTCATTTTATATAATCGCACCGATGCGATTTTAATAGGAGATTCTGATCCGCGAGAGAAACTTTCCCGTGACATTATGCGGGTATCACGAGTGGCATATAATTAAACGCTTAAAATGCATCGGATCTTGCGGCCGATCGATCGGACCCGAACGAGATAGTGAGCCGTGATAAACGGTTATCTAAAGCGTTCGTGAAAGCGTCGTACGTGTGTCGCCCGGTAATGGGAAGCGTAGCTGTGTACCTCCGATCTAATTTCCTTCGGTTTATTAATCTCCCCCTGACGTCGTTTAATTACCTGTGTAAATCAAACGGCCGACTCCCGTCCCGCGGTGCTCTTTGTCGCCGACGAATCTTGTTTTCATCGTTCGACACCGGAAAACGGAAAGAGCCGTCCGGATCGAATGTCTGAAGAAGTTCGCGATCACTCGCTTCTCCGACGAATTTCTCTTTTACGGAAAATCGTGACAGCGAGGAGAAACTCGTCGAAAAATCAAGTGATCGTCGACTTGGACGACTTTCGAACGGATCTATTGGGTAAGCTGCACTCGTCGAACCACTGAGCTATGAATTAGCGAGGTGATCCTCGTTCAAAAAATTCTAAATTGGACAATCCGTAAGAATCGGCGAGGGAAAACGAAACGATGCTCGATCGGCCGCGGTTTCTTGCTCGCCCCGTTTCTCTTCCGTTCCTCGGTTCACTTCGGGCGAAAGCATCCGCGCTCGCTCGCTCGCTCGCTCGCTCGCTCGCTCGCCTCGCGATCGTGTTCACATTGAAATATCGCTTGCGCAAAATGCAAAAGGTTACCCACGATCACCGGGCCGGGCTGGAATTCTCTCCTTTTCAGTGCTCGCGTCGAGCAAAGGGTCGACCACGAGTCTTTCGACGAGCTGTACTTTTTACACCGCTCGACTAAGCTTCGTCGCAAACACTTTCGTTTTATGAACATCTCGTTTGTGCGAATTACGACCAGATCGCAATTGTGTTCGTAACAGCTGGTGCGCATCGCAGCGGTCAAGTGAAATTTCTGTTCACAATGCATTTTCCTTTAACCGACCAGCGACGAAAAAATACCACGGATGTTTTTCGCAATGACTACGATATCAAATCGATGTAAGTAATCATGCAGTATTAATCAAATACGTTGCGTTCTGGTAATTGCCAAGAAGAATAAACGGTGAGGGAGGGGAAAGGTCAAAATATTAGATTGCGCAACGCGCGGGAGACGGAGATCCTTTGGCAATTTCCCGCATTGTTCGGGGCAATTTCCAAAGGCTCGGGTACAGACTCGAACGGTCGTATCGTTGCTTTATTGATTGCCGATGTCTTCGATTGCAAGGTGCGTTTTTAAATAATGCCGAAGGGAAAAATAGGTCGTGGAAAAGAACCCCTCTTCGTCGAGAGCAATCGGGAAAACCGAAGCAAGTTCACGGTCGTGTCCTATGGCTCGGCGAATCTGTTCGCCCGACACCCAGACGATTCAGGCATCGAATCCGTGACCCATTTAAACAAATTTCCTCAAAGTCTCCAGTGTCTAAACAGTTCTGACGAACGCGTAACAATGTAAAAAGTGATATTGTACGAATCCGTGGAATTGCGATAAGAGATCTGACGTTTCGCGAGAATCCGTTTCCCTCCTCGGCAGATAATCGTGTCAGAGGTCGCGGTCTCCCTCCATCGCGATGCAATAAATAAATGCATAAACGAGGTCTGGGAAAAACCGTCTCAGTCTCGAGTCGATCGTCGAATCGTTTGGTGAACAAAGAATCGTCGAGATGTCGGAGTCTCACCTGTGGTTGGTGTCGATCGTCCTGCTGATTTCGGCGATCGGAAAATCGGAGCAAGCCACGTGCAAACGCGTCACCGGTTATACGGTGTGCCATGAAAAAGGAACCTTGGTAGACGTCACACAACAGGAATTCGAAGACGGGCTGGACATACACGACTTGGATCTGCTGGCCATTCGAGAGGACGCGTTTAAGAATTTAACGACAGCGAAACTGAACCTGGGACTGGGTAACAAGATCTCGGTGGTGCAGAAGGGATCGTTCCGCGGGTTGGAAAACTTGGTTCGTCTGGATCTGGACGGTAACGTGATTCCCCTGTCGCCGAATCTGTTCTCGGAATTAAAGCAATTGCGTTCGTTGTCTCTGATCTTCAACAAGATCAACGAGATACCGAAGGACTCGTTCGGAGGACTGTCGAATCTGATATGGCTCTACCTGGGCCACAACGACGTCGAATCGATCAGCAGTGACTCGTTCGCCGGGTTATCTTCGTCGCTCTTGTTTCTCTGGCTGAACGATAACAAGATCGCGAACATAGAATCGGGAACTTTCAGCCAAATGCCAGAGTTGTCGCGTCTCCATCTGGAGAACAATCAGCTGACCTCCATCGAGTCCGGAGTTTTCAGGGGTCTGCACAAGTTGGACGGTCTGTTCCTCGAAGAGAATCGACTGAGCAGCGTTTCCAAGTCCGACTTCAAGGGACTGATCAGTCTGAGAATTTTGAGCCTGCACAGCAACCGGATCACCGACATCGAACCGGGAGCATTCGCCGATCTGACTCAATTGGAGGATCTGCACTTGAGGAAGAATCGACTGTCTCACGTAGACACCGGCGTGTTCAACGGGCTGAAGAGTCTGAAGAAACTGGATCTGTCCGGTAACGAGATCAGCGTGGTGCAGAGTGGCGCGTTCGGAGGACTCCCTGCGTTGAAGCTTCTGTACCTCACCAATAACAATTTGACCAGCGTGGACAGAAAGGATTACGGTTTGACCAGTTTGACCATGGTGTACGCCACGTAAGCTGATCTTTGTGGCGCGTCTGGGTAGTGACCCATGATCGAATAAAGTGTTGATCAAACGAATCATTGAGTAAAATAAAGTCTGTCGATTCAATTGGACGTTTCGTCGTGCTATCGCGAAACGATACTTCATACTGTTTACGTGACCTATATAATTTCATGATACCGAGGCAAGAAGGGAAGGCATTCGCTTTCCTGCCACGCCTAATGTCAAGATCGCGGGTCTACCCCGTGTTCGTTTCGACCCACGCCCACTGTACCTGTTCCCTCTTACGACGCGACTCGAACCGGGAGGCCGTCGACGTACGATCGACATGTTTCAGACTCGTTTCAAACGCGTGCGTTCGCAGCGAAATCGTACGGTGGAGTTTATTCGTTTATGCGTAGCGACGGATCGGGCAAGGCGATTCATAATTATTTGAAAGTCAAATTTCGGAGTCGCGACTAGAATACGTTCGGGCTGCATCGAGATTCAAGGACGGGTCTTGGAATTTCTGCTCCGGCGGAGAACGGAGTTTCCTTCGTCGTTGAAAAATGAACGACGAAACCTCGGACGACCGTAATTACGTTTCGGCGAGACGAGAGAAACCGTCGACAAATAAATATACGGGATTGAAATGAAACGGAGCGCGAGCAAGACCCGGTTCGGGAATTATTTCAAAGGTTCTCGCGCAGCCAAAGGGCGCGTTCACCAGAGTTACGTTCGATTCTTCTATTTTCCTACACGGATCATGTTCTTTGTACAACGAAACAGCGTTAGGAAAATCTTGCGCGAGTCTTTCTCTCTTACGGGCATAAAGGAAGACTTCTCCCTTTCCGAGAAACGATCCTACGATCAGACCACCCTTTCACTGTGAAACGTTCCCCAGTGGAGACGATTCTTCGTGGGTCCATCCTTTTTACAGAGCTCTCATACGGCTCAGCGAAGTCCGTTCCTCTTTCTTCTTCTCCTTCTTTTTTATGGAAGACCGACTTTACAGAGACCGTGGATCAAGTTTCGTTCTTTCAGACGTTCGTAGTAAAGAAGAAAAACGCGAGGTTTACGACGTTACCGATTTTCGTTTTGACGGTCGTTGCAAACGATCGTCGAACGGCCCGGCTTCCGTTCTAGGAATTTAAATCCAGCGTGCTAATTTTTGTGACCGCGGATAACGAGCTCCGCATAACAAACGGCGTTCGCGAGGCCGATTCGATCCGATCACGTGCCCTTCGCGAACGAAAACGCGCGAATACGCACATGGAGAATAACGTCCTTCCGCTGTTCGTGCGTCAAGAATCATTGGACGAATTTCAATGAACCTGCCGTAAAGCGTCAGCAATCCATTTGCCATTCTTTTTTTCCACTCGAATCTTTCCTCGTGTTTCCTCTAACGAGTAGATCGCAAATACGTATTTACGCGCGCACAAAATGCAACTGCACGTAATCGAAATATCGAATTTATTTGTTTATTTATATTATTTATTTATTTATTATTTGCACGGGTTTCAAGAATCCATATATTATTATATACCAGAGGTATGTAAATGACATAAAATGAGTTCCACTGGCTGTTTAAAACGTTCTATCGATATGATTATCGTGTCGTTGTTCGTCGCACAATATTGTACGTACGTCGCTCGAGCACAAGTGAGCGGGACGGAGCGGTCGTTCGACGACCTCGCGTGAGTACCTCTGGACTTTTCATCGACACGTTAGAAAGTTACTCGGTGGGAGGTGCACGAGCAGCCTTGAAAATGCCGACGCGCTAGAAAAGGTGTCACGGACGTGATAACTCGCCGATTCGGAATCAGAAGCAAATTTGATCGACCGATCGATCCTTCGGTGTTTGCGCGAAGGAAACGGCCCGTCCTCGTTGCGTTCGCTCCGTTCGCCGAACGATTGACCCTGTTTCGTTTAATTACTGGAAAGAAGCGAGGTTTCAAAGAATCGGCGGACCAGGGAAATGGGTCGCGGCCTCTCTCGAGTAGTCAGGACTGGGAAAACCGAAGCAAGTTCACGGTCGTACTCCGCGGAAAACTAGTCCTCGCGTCGATTTTTTTTTCCTCTCTCTCACTGTTTTCGTCCCGCTTCTTTTTCGATGCACGAGGACGGAAAGTACCCGCTTTCAAACCGTGCCTAATGAGTCCCGGTATCAACAATCATTTTTCGCGTAAAGGAAGATCCACGTGAAACGATTTCCCGGGCTACGTTCGCGTGTCCTTGTAGCGGAATTCTATTCGGGGGAAGGGGCGACTGGAAAATCGTGAAACGGAAAACGATTACCGTTCCTCACGCGTAAACAGGAAAATCGAGACCTCGCACTCGCTTTTACGCTCGGGGCGAAAAACTTGGTGTCAGGGAAAAGGGGATAAAAAGATAGAGCCAGTAGATTTCGGAGAAAAATATTCGGATCGGGAATAGCCAAGTGGCACTGGAAAGAGCGAGCGCTCTCATGTTGGAATTCCAAATCCGCGCTGGAAAAATACCTGAAAACGGAAGAAGCAGTGCTCTCAGATTTCAGGAGTTTCGATCGTATTACATATTTCAAACATTGTTGAAACGAATTTAAAACAATTGATTAGACCGATGCTCCAGCACTGTTAACCGTCGCCGGATTAATAACCCGGTGAATCGAGAGTGTCTCGGAGAGCCCTTATCAAAAAGATAGAAGAGGGTGTCTAGCCGACTTCGAGGCTAACCAATTTATCAAGCTTCCGTCCTGCGATCGATCATCGCGAAATCAATCATATCCTAAGCTAAACACGTACGCGAAGATTGACATTTCTGTGAAGATTAGCACACAACTCTTGACGGATATTACAGGATCCGTAATTTATTAGAGTCGCGCTGGACAGTGGTCGCTTCCTGGAGGATCGAAACCGAGCAGGCTCTATTTTATACGGAGTGAATCAATACGAAATTATATCTGTACAATGAAGATTGTCCCACGGTAAGTGTAAAAATTACGCGTGGGCTTCGTCCCATCCTTCGATGCGAGATCCGATATTTATTACAAGGACTTTATACACGTTATATCCACCTGTGGCCACTGAATCGGCACGAGCCGCGGTGAAAGTGTGGCTTCTTAAGCGACGTTAGACGCGTACACCGTTTCAGAAAACAGATACCTGTGCGAGTCGCACCCGCGCCGGGATCCCGAATCGAGAGAGGAAGAGAGAGACGTTTCGAGACTCGATTCACAACGGAGGTGGTTCGGTGACGGGACGATCACGAGAGAGCCCCGGGTGCGTTCGCGATGCACTCGGAGAACTGCTCCGATACGTGACTGGAAACGCCGAGCACCGCGGCGGCGTGCATCAACACCGCTGGAAAAGTGAGAAATTATATTGAAACGGGCCGGATGTGTTCGATTTTCAGTACCCGCATCGTAAAACTGTTTACCACCGCTTAGATTTCGGCACCTGAACGTGAAACTTAACGACGGACTGTTACAATTGGAATCTTATCAGTCTCGGAACAAAAACGTTTTTACATCGTTCGGAACAAATTACTACTTTTAATTCCTATTAATTATCTTTTTTTAATCATCCCTGCGAAGTCGATTTTGCACAGTATCGAAGTTAGCTATCGCTTCCCGCTTGCCCGTTACTTTCTACGATTTATTACGGGTCATCTAGCGGGTCGAGCCAATTAAATCGAAAACCTTTTCCGTCGGAGAATCGTGTCGATACCGTGAACGATACTTTTTAGCCGGTTCGGAGGACTCGACCGATTCGGCCGAGAACAGCGAGATAAAATCGGTCAGCTTCCCCGTTCGTTAGAAAATCTCTCTCGGGCCAATTAAGCCGTTTGAGAAGAGTCGATCGGCGGCCGTGCAAAACGATCGCCAGGCGAGATGATCGACGATACGAGGAAAAATATGATTGAGACGCGTAGCGAATCTTCGACCCCGAAGGAAACCGTTACATCTCTGATCAGAACAGTAAAAACTGAGCGAGGTCGAGGACGTCTAAGACGCTCGTTACTACTTTTTGTAGCGCGCGATCGCGGTCGAGTTTGAGAGCTCGTTAGCGTCCGTTCATTTTCAGAAGATTCTTGACGAATCGCAGTGTTCGTCAAAAATTTAAGGATCGTACGAAACGTCGTACTAATCTTCATGACGACATTTATGCCTGCCGGTTAAACAGGTTTAACGCGAAAAGATTTTTTATTAGAACAGACAGCAACAGTTACCGTACGGTTAACGGTGTCGTTTAAGAAACTCGGTTTTACGTTGTTCCCGGGCTTTCGAGACGAACGATGGACAAAGGGGAGCGTAACAAAAAAAAGGGAGAGATAAAGGCCACCTTTCGCCCGTTTTTACACGGCTTTCTTTTATTTTCTAATTTGCGGCCGTCGCGTCGGAAGCCCCCCCGTCCACCCGGTACGTCCATCATTGTGTTACACGTTGGAAACCGGCGTATCTAGTCTAGACGCGTATCCGTTGCAGAGATTGCACGGTAATTTTTCACGTTTTATTGGCCCGTCGTGTCGCTGCGCTCTCGAGGAAACGTCACGCTTCAAGGTGAGCCTCTGGTATCGATGGAAACCAGATTTAGAAACGGCACGAGTCGCATACGAGATTTACACCAGATCATCATAGAAACGCGACTTCCCGTCCATTCGCATTCGACGTGTCATCATGTACCACGTGAATGACTCAGAAATTCTAATCTAGAAATTTTAATTTGCCAAGAGACGTCCGTTCAATTTATTTTATAACAATTTTAAAACGTGCGAGTGCAATTATGAAACGTCAGGTAATCGCATGTGGGATACTCGTCATCGATTCGACGTTCGGTACGACGACGTCTAAAGGTACTTTTCTAAATTTCGTCTCCTGAATTCAGGACTAAGATGCGAACAGATGTCGAGCTGGCACGCGTCGATGTGAGTCAAGGTGTATAGAAAAGTTACACAGAGTTCATGGCGACTCTAATGGCACATCGGCTGCAATACTATCTCTTGAAACGTTCTCGCAGAAGTTCAAGGCTCTCGAGTGTGAAAGTTCCTAGTAGCCGGTGTAAGAAGTTTACGTAAAAAGTGGAAATTGAAAGCTGCAGGAATTCTTACGCTCGTAGAAGGCCACCGTATAAAATCACAATCTCGAGTTCTACAC